TCAATCGCCAATGAAACACATTCATGATCGAATATTTAAAATGTGTAAATTATTTTATTTATGACAGGCTAAAATCAATCCTATTTCAATAGCCTTCCGCATTGAAAAAATATTAATTCCTGCGTAAAAAAACAAAAACAATTAAAAAAAAACAGCCAAAACTGTTTGTGTTTATCTGCACCTACTTATATCAACTCAAATTAATTTGTTCTAAAAATAAAAATACAAAAGTCTACGAAAAATTATATTATTCAATCGACAATTTTTAAACCGTTTATCAACCCTTAAGAAACATTTGGTACATCACAAATTATTTTCGCGTCTATAATATTTAGGGCAGAAAGTCTACCATATGGCAGTAATTTAAAAAAAGACACATTCCGTTGAATGGCCGTAAATATTTTTTCTGATTCTTGTTAAATCTCGATATACAAATAAGGACCGCATTTGGTCATTTTTATTATTTATTGAAAGCAATTAGAAAAACAGCCATACGTTTCAGTCTTCATCGAAACTGTCATTCAGTGGAAAACCAAAAACTTTTTTTTGTAATTAATTTAGAAAAGGATTAATTAGATATTCAAGGAATTAATTACAAAAAAAACTTTTTAGTTTTCCACTGAATGACAGTTTTGATGAAGACTGAAGCGTATGGATTAATAAAGCTGTTTTCCTAATGCTTTAGTTTTTTTTATTTGGTGATATTGCCTGACTCAACACACCCTTTAATATATATATATTAGGGAGGGCCGAATCATTATAGAAGTAAAATTAAGCGATATGGGCACCTTTTCATATGAAATATATGTGTTATTTAAATGAATTTTGACTTCAAAACCATATATCGCAAATAACTCTTCAGCCAGCGAAATTTTCAATAAAATACTGTTTTTAATAAGTTAATATATTAATTTAGGCATGTGAATAATTCAAATTGTGAGTTATATTTCTATTGATAGTTTGTACGGGGGTTTTTAAATCGGGTTTAGTTTGTTGTTATTTATTTCCATCAGAGTGCGCTAGTATTTTTTTATTATAATTCTCGAAGTTTCGAAAAGAATATATTAATATGAAAAACCCGCATTAATATTCATTCAGTTCTCCAGTTAGACGTGAAGTATCAATGGCGAATTCTTATTTAAATTCAGGCGCAAGTGCCAGTAATTTGAATCATATGCGCTCGCATGATCAAATTACATTTGGGGAAGCAGGAGAATTTACTGGAGTAAATCTTCCGACAAGTATGGAAATTATCAGGTATTATTTTTATTTGGCCGAAGAATCAAAAAAACAAAATAAAATGTTTTCATATAAAACATTTACTCCAAATGTGGTAACGAAATTGATTCAGACGTGGGAAAAAATTGATATTCCAATTATGGAGAAACGAAGTATCGCTAGAAAATTGAACCGATTGATTGATAAATATAAAAGTACAAATAAAAGCAAGTCTACCCAAGCATCATTTCAGGAGTTTGTAGAATCCACGAAAGATTTATTTTATATTGGAAAATGCAAATGCGATTTGCGAAGATTACTGTGTTCCTGTGGACTGATCCCAGAACATTTACAAGCGTTTATGATGGATCAACATAATGAGAGGAAATCTACGATACCAGAATATATTATAAAAATTGAAGATGAAGTATCAGAATCTACAATAACTAGCAATATTACTCCAGGTGAGACATATACTCCAGATGTTGATTTTGATTTTAAAAGCAGTTCGGAAAGTTCACAAAATACTTCTCATATAAAACGTGGTCCATATAGTCGAAGATATAAGGCTCCAAGCTATGCCTTAATGTGCGACAGATTTGCAATTTCTGATAGAGTTGGTTCTGGCGTAGTGACGGCAATCCTGCGTGACCTGGGCATAACGGATGATTGGGGCAATCCTGTCATTATGGATAAAAATAAAAGCGTTTGTGAGAGGCAGAAAAATAGGCAAGCTCTACACAAACGATATGATTCTTCTGAATTAATAGCATTTTCATTCGACGGCCGAAAAAATGATTCTATTACCATGGAAAAAATCGATAAGAAGTTTCACCCACGAATGATTAAAGAAGCGCATTTAGTTATTTTAAAGGAACCGAATGGCAAATTGTTGGGTTACACAAAATTGGAAAATGAAGGTTCGGAAAGTAAAGTAATCAAATTGAACGAGTTTTTCGCCGATAAAGGAATACCTCTCGATTCTTTGATAGGCATATGTTGCGATGGTGAACCAGCAAATACAGGCGTAAAAAATGGTATTTTACGTCGATTTGAAATTCAGTTAAACAGGCCACTGCATTGGTTTGTGTGTCTCCTCCACTTTAACGAACTTCCACTTCGCCATTTATTTAACTATTTGGAAAAATCATTGACCACTGGACCACGAACAAAAACTGGAATATTAAGCAAACAAATTGAAACATGCGAAAATATACCGGTGAGTTATAACATATTTACTATTTTTAATATCCTATGTTCAAATTCAATATAATTTATTTTT